AAAAAGATATTAATGTTGACGTATAGTATATTAAAACAATTTCCTGTTTCAGCTTCATTTACAGAGACAAAGTAATTCATAAGCAAGATTGGTGTGAGGCTACCTGTTTGTCTTACCAAATGGCAGATGAGTTTTTTTTTTTTTAGCATTTTCATTCAGAGCTGCTAGTGGCACAGATACTTGCACATGACAGCTTTCAGTACAATACAATAACTTTTAAAAAATTCGAGTATCAAAAAAAAAATAAAATAAATAAAATAAAATAAAATCTTTGACTACTTTATGAATTGGAAAGGAGACGAACCACGAAGGCCTAACTATAAAGTTTTAATAACTATTCTAAAGCTAAGAGAACAGTGAAGCCCATGCCACAATTATAACGATAATAACAGAGGAACAATATCAGGATTCCACCTGATTTTAAAGTGCTTGAGCATTTAAAGCAGCAGATTACAGAACTGCAAGTTGAGCTTATTATAAACGGGACATTATGAAGCATTTTTGCATCCTTGAAATGCAGCTATTTTTTTATTGTCAGGACTTGACTTACCTGCAAAATACTCAGCAGATTACATGATTACTAATATAATAACAGTCCTAAATCAGAAATCATTGCTACCAGAATCAACCAGGATCATCACTTACTTATTAGGTTTAATAGAAAAGTGATGATCCTGAGGTCTCACTATAATCAAACTAATTACACAGGATTTCCATAAAACAGGATTGAAGCAATCCAACCTGGATCACTCATTTCCTGGGCACAGTCAATACACACACACACACACTTCAGCCACTTTCTGACAAAGTGATTACACCATGTTGCCTGGAGCACATATACACATCTGTGCTCTCTACCATATCCAAGCTAAATTTTGAAAAAAATATTTTATTTGAAGATGACAGTACAATTTATTAATTTTATACTTACCAACAAGCTCATTGGGGTCTTTAACTTCCACTTCTGTGACATCCTACGAAAAGAAGAAAAGGACAAACATGCATAATTGAAAATCAATAACACATTTTCCTTCCGATGTCGTTTCAAGTCAGCATGTACGTGTACATAAGATGAATTACGACAGACCAAGTAAAATATTGTTAGAACAGATTAATATTTGGCCATTTTGACATTATCAGCATGGGCTAATAACAATGTATGCTTGTTCATTTAACAAGTGTTAGTGCCCCCTTGTGCCAACTCCAAGTCCAACAACAGCAGAGCCAAAGGATAAACATTTTTTAATTTTCAAAATTTTTTTAAATTAAAATTTTGTGTAAAAAAAAAAAGATCCTAATACACTACTAGCTATTCAGATGAGAAATATAAGTCTAATCCTGTGCTGTAAGAACACAACACTTTTAAAACACAAAATATCTCTCTTGGGAGGCTTAAAAACTGATGGTGATGAAAACAGCACCACAGCGCAAAAGCCCTGAAAATGTGCATAAAAATACACTGGCCCTCTATTCACTGTGCTCCTTTACACAATCTCACACATACAGTCACTCAGCAACAGGATGTGCAGATGGAAGAATGGTCTCGTAAAAGTGCCCAAGTAGAAAATCTGTCTTGGACAGCACAGAGAAAGAGAGATATGACTCACTAAGAGATGAATCTCTTGTAGCCAAAAGCACAAATCCTAACAACAGTCCATTCACTTGAAAACGCAGCATGGCAAAACAATGTGAGACAAAAAAGGACCCATCTATCTCCACTGAGGCGGGGGGCCTGCCCTAAAAAGAGGTCTTTTTCATTTAGATTAGCCCAAAAATGGGACCACGGGTTAATGGATCTACTTCTTGCCATTTCATTGTCATGCCCCTGCATGCACTTTTACAACAGCAAAGACAAAAAAAAGTCTGAATCATAAAGTAATAAGACACTTAATAGGTGAAGATTACAGTCTGTCCCCTTTTTAAGTTGCAATGAAATTCAAAACACCATATTGTTTTGTTTTAAACAACAAGAGAGTGAGTAAATGTGAATTGTAGTTTTTGGGTGAATAACAGTCGAAAGGACAAAAATGAACTGAACCCACATAAAAATAAAAAGCACCATAACATTTCATAATCTTACATTTGGAAAAGTCATTATTAAGCAATTAATTGAATCAAATTATTTTATTACAAAACATGCTTTGATGATCTCATTTAGTAAGCATGACGAACAGTGTTCTGTCTTTGGGGTGTGGCTCTAAATTTATGCAACATCGCAAGCTTCTATTATGAAAAAGTAATGTTAGTGCATGAAATAACTTGCCACTGCAGTGCTTTGCACATCTGAAATCCTTTTAGATGGAATTGGAATTTAGATTATTGCTCTTGGAACTTATAATCAGAAAATTTGAACTCCATGTGAATTCCATATACACTACTGTTCAAACGTTTGGGGTCAGTAAGTAATGACAAATTAATTATTTTATTCAGCAATGATGTATTAAATTGATAAAAAGTGACAGTCGAGACTTTTGCATTGTTACAAAAAAACTACTTCTAATAAATGTTGTTCTTTTGATCTATTTCTCAAAGAATCCTGGAATAAAATGTTTGATTTTTACAAAATACTAAGTACAGTTTCTTGAGAACCAAATCGATCACTGGAATAATGGCTGCTGAATAATTTTAAATTATAATAATTTTTTGTATTATTACTGTTTTGACTGTAGTTTTGATCAAATAACTTTTAAAAACATCTAATACATTTAACTGTCCCCAAACTTTTGAACAATTTTTGTACATTTTAAATGAATGTATAACAAAAGTAACTGTGCATAACCCGGCCTAATTTTCAATAAATATGCATGAAAACATTAAGGACATGCTGTATTACTCTCATATGACCCTTCTCTGCGAGTTCAAACACACATGTTGTTCCTCAGTTGGAGTGATGCTCTGTTGTCTTGGTTTGAGGCCAATCATAACACTGCAATAAACTGAGGAAGGGTGTGTCTTAGGTTAGATACCCTGAACCCCAGAGCAGTCAGATAGGGAATTTAGGTGGGGTCACATACCTTCACATCATCTTGGGTCCGCCCTGAGTCCGACTCCTCCTCTTCCTATGAAAACAAAAATGAACATGGGTCACCACAGCCACATTACACCCAAAACCACACCCAAGAGCTCCCCCTTCAGGTGTACAAAGTTTCAACCATGGTGCTCTGAGAATGACCGTGAATTGCGTTCTGACTGTGGACTTTTTCTGATTAACTTAATTATAGTTAATATCATTAATATCAGTTATAGCCCATGTCATATAACAGTCTTGACACAGACAGTGGGAAATGGCATTAATCAAATAATCAGTTGAAATAAAAAAAAGAGGGGCAATTGTAAATTTGCAACTAAGCAACCTTTTAACGTTTGATTTAAAAAGAATATTTGTACCAAATATCAGAACTACTAGATCATAATCTTTAATTCAACAAATCAGTGTGTTGCTAAATTATGGAACATTTTTTTACTTTTATATGGCACTAATCCTATTAGCTGTCAAGAATAATGTGCATTAAAAACAGATGGAAATTTGTATATACTTTCTAATTATATGCAACAATTTTAACAATTTTTAATAATTATCTGCAACAGAATTCTTTTTATTTAAATGTTTCTTTTTTTCCTAATGACACTGATAATTAAAAAAAGGACAATGAAAAAAAAAACTATATTTCAAATCAAGTGCTGTGATCACTATTTTTTTCTTGTAATTGTTTGTGGTTGCAAAAATGTAGCCTTTTTATTTAAATGTTTCTTTTTTTCCTAATGACACTGATAATTAAAAAAAGGACAATGAAAAAAAAACTATATTTCAAATCAAGTGCTGTGATCACTATTTTTTTCTTGTAATTGTTTGTGGTTGCAAAAATGTAGTGTTACTTCCTTTTATTACAACTAGCTCTGATCTTCTCTAATTGATGGAAGGTTAATTTTGTGAATTACATTCTACGTGAATGTAATGGTCTGACACTTCTAGAAAACCCCTAAACTGAAAGTTGTGGTTAAGACTGACCGAATTTCTAGTGCTGTCATCATCACTGTCCTCATTCTCCGAGGGCTTCTCATCTGCCTCCTCCACACGACTCACATCTTCCTCTCCGTAACCAGCCCACACCAATCCACCATGAGATTCTGACAGACAAGCACAAAAAAGCTCTTTCAATTCCACTGAGGCCATAATTAATTACTAGTTATTGTTGCTACTGTAAATCCATAAAACACTAATATGAGATCTTTTGTTATAACAGTTGAGGCTAACTGTCGTGTCAATGAAGGTTACAAGCATAAAGTTACATAAGGCAGAAGAAGAAAATACATTTTAAAAAACGTATTACAACATTAAGTAAATAAAGCAGGAAACAAACCAATTTTACATACACTGCCCTCTACAAAACTCAATGGTAAACTGTTCATCATAACAGCATCCGTACTACTTCCCAGCAATTAATAAAATACCCGATTGAGCCCATAACAGTAATATATATATTTTTTTTAAGTCATATTTTGTCTATTCCACAACATTTTGCCATTCTCTGTCATTTATAGCGACGCGTACGTTAACGTTACGTTACCCCTACATCGACAACAAAGCCGCCAGCGTTGCAAAGTCCCAGTATTTACATGTTTTTCCTAACACTAATTAGAGTTTATACCTTGATCATCTGTGTCTGGATCTGAATCCTGCTCTGAATCATCTCCATAAGCCGCTAGTGAAGTGAGAATAGCATTTTTTTTACCGCTCGCCATGTTCAGCGTTGGCGCACAATAGTGACGTTATGCTATGTTCAGTGTGCGCATGCTCGGCGTTTTGAAACGCGCGTCGCGTGGAATACGCAGATCTGTTTGGTTGCCATAGGTTACCACGACGCTTTTGGAAACTTTGATCAGACATTCAAACTTTTGTTAGAGTTACCACTTTAAAGTAAAAGAACAACAACTAAAAATAACTTAATGGTAGTATTTATTACAACCGACGTTATACCGACAGTGAAATTCGAGTGAATATGCCCCCCAAACGGAATAAAAGTGCTACTCCATCTGGGGTTACTCCGACTGGGCCAGCTGCTGCTAATAAAAACTGGGAAACAGCTCTTACTTCTGCTGTATTTGAAGAGGTAACATATAAATGATCCTCAAGAAACCGTTGTTTTGTTTCTTCTTCTTCTTCTATATCCCATATCTTCTAATTTATCTATTCAAATCAGCATCATTTACTCATCTTCATGTTGTTCTAAACATTTTGACCGAATGTGTGGCAGAATGTCAATCTCAGTCACCATTCACTTTCAGTGTATGTGAATATATCAATATGCAATGAAAGTGAATGGTGACTAGGTGACCCCCTAACATTCATCTCTTTTTGTGTCCTGGATGAATTAAAGTCATACTGGTTTGGAACCACGTGAGAGTGAGTAAATGGTGCCCGATTATCATTTTGGGATGAACTATGCTTTTAAGTAAAGAAACGCAAACGTTCATTGCGTTCATTGCAACCAGGAGTGTCAAACTCTGGAGCCCTGCAGAGTTTAGTTCTAACCCTGCTCCAACACACATACCATGTAGTTTTCAAATAAGCCTGAAGGACTAGCTGGATCAGGTACATTTAATTAGGGTTGAATCTAAACACTGCAGGGCTGTGGCCCTCCAGGAACTACAGACTTTTTTTTTTTATTAGAGAAAAAGTTATGTTATTTCTCCTCTGAATCATCTATGACTAGAATGACTGGAGGGCCAGTCTGTCTATGGTGCAGGCAGAAAAAGCAGAGGACGAACAGCTCATCAGCGCCCTCCTGCAGGCGGTCCAGCAGCCCCTGCGCAAGCTCTTCAGTGTGCTGTCCTGGGAGGACACTCTGGAAAAGGTCTGAAATATGGTTTCTGTTCTGTGATAATTCACATTAGATCATTAGAGAGTATTATTAATGAAATGCAGATGGGTGTGATGGAAAGGAATGACATTTAATTGTGTTTCATTAAATATTACAATCTTCTGTGAAACAGATCAATGAACTGGGAAACCCAAAGACCAGAAAGACCAAAGATGTTCCCATGTTTTGTGAGGTGGGAATTGTTATTCACCATAAAAAACAGAAATGTTAGTATAGTGTTACAGTTACAAAAATGTATTGATCATGTATAGTTTTAAGATCCAGTCATCCTACGTTGGATGTATAGTTTTGGAGCAAAAAACAAAAAACCAATCAGTTTGAAATTTAAAATGAAATAAAATGAATAAATAAACTAAATAATGCTAAATTATGTTGTCTATTCATGGTTTCAGTTAAATGTCTTTTGTGCTTCTGTAGGTGACTGAAGTTGCAAAGTCTATAATGGATGTTGGAGAGGAAATTACTGTGGACCTGATGGCAAAATTAATAAAGTTTCAGCTTCTGACCATCAAAAATAATGACATTGCAAGGAGGGCTGCTGAGCAGAAGGTGAGGGCTTTTTACAAACAGCTCATGTCATGTCATAATTATTCTATTCAAATTTACACTGCATATGTGACAAATTCTAATGAAATATACAATGCATAATTTTTTTAACATGTCTCTGATGAACAGTAACACAGACTATGTGTATTAAAGTCTATAGAGGATATCCGTGCTAAAGCAGGACTGAATTCTGCCGGCAAGGACCAGGGGGGTAAAGGAGCAGCAAAGGGGAAGAAAGCTGCCGAGCTTCCAGTTCCAACCAAAGACACCAATCTCAAACGCAGAGGGGAAGAGGAAAATATAATCAAATACATAGGTGTCCATTTCTGTATTGTTTCTTGTCAAATATCTGCATATATCAGAATACAAAAGTAAAATGGGTTTGCGAACAGTGTTTTAATTTTTACTTTGAACATATGTGTTCAGATGATGAGCCTGATGACGGGCCGCAGCACTACATCCTGATTGTGGGGTTCTGCCAGCCTCATTTAATCTCTGCATTGGACGGTCTGGGTATCCACGTGTCCAATATCATTAAACTGGGCTTAGATAGAGAAGAAGAATTAGAGGCTCCAGAGGAAACAGTGGCAGATGAGAATCACCACTCAACTGAAGATCAAGGCAAATTGCTAAGAATTTTATTACGTTTATACCTTTCAAATTATATTACACAGTGCATGCAGAAAATGCAGGCTAGCTCAAACTGGACGACTGATGTTATATTTGTATGCATGCAAAATCAAAATGTAAAATCTTCCAGAATTAACTCGTCTTGTGTTCAGAAGTAGAGACACTTAAACAAAAGAGGCAGTGGGAGCTAGATGTGTTCTGGAAGCAGCTGGATCAAGTCTTGAACAGTGGGAATATGGGATCAAGTCTCAGTGATGTTGCCAGGTTGAACTATAATGTGAAGATTCATTTGCTGCCCCAGGACAAAGGCAACACTGAAGCAATGGTGAATGGAGAAGAAGAAGTACACTTTCTTCTACCTGTGATTCAGATTTTTTTTCTGTTTCTGTTTAATATGTGTTGTGTGTTGATTGTCATAATATATCTAAAACCCTTGTAAAAAAAAAAAAAA